GCTACATTTGCTATAGCGTTCAATTATTAGTATTGATCAGGAATCTACTCTTACAGTAATTGTTAGATCTCCCGTCAAAAGCTACAAAATATTAATATTTTGTTAAAGTATTACCATTGTTAAAATCAAGTACAACTTCGGAATTTATTCAAGAATCCTCTCGTTGACTTTTCGAGATTAAAGGAACAAGTTGGAAGGACTCAATACTTTAATTATTTTGTTATTCAGCCTAGTTTGTCGTTCATCTAGTCCACTGACTTTTGCACAACTAATATACTTGATTACTTCACTGTTTATTGAGTATTACACCCCTGAATACATCTACCCAAGATTATCCACTTCAAAAAGATCATTCCACCAGATTTTCGTCTAGTTATTTGAAAACAATTTGTCATCGTTTGGAAATTGCAATTAGGTCACTGTCGTTTATCACCCACCATATAAACACCAAAATTTGTCTCCAGTTTTTACAATTGGTACACCCCCATTTTCTGAATCACGCCATGAGTCAACAATCAAAATCTCGTGAAGAACGATTCCAGAAATACACAAATAGACATCAAGTTCCAGTTCATCCGTTAGAATCAGATACATCTACCACAATTTATCACGACGCATTAGAATTACAAGGCGATAATTCTGATACTGCAAACTCTGATACTACCATTACTGAAACTTCAAGTCATCCTACTGAATTCACTTCATCAAACTTTGAAACTACTCCAACTACTGAAACTGAAATGCCACAATCAACAACTGCTGATGCTCTCGCAAACTTGTTCCAACAAGTACAGTCATTAACTATTCAGTTATCTGAAGTTAGAGAATCCGTTCCTATCAATGAAATTCAACCTGATATTACTTCTACATTGAAAAGATTCTTTCCAAGTTTAATTATTGAAGAGAACAAGGTCTTAGGAACTAAATTGTTAAGTGAAATTAGTGGTTCCCAAATTGTTGTCAAAGAAAATGAACTTATTCGTCAATTTGATTCCAATATCTGCCAACAGTTATTGAATTTTCAAACCAGAGCTGGTTTTCTCCAGCTAAGTTTTTCTCAATATGGTAATTTCCTTTACCAATTCTTGGATTCTTACAACAAGGCGGTTATTAACAAGAACACCAATATTCAAGATGAAGAGAGAAATTACAACTATCTCCAAATGTTGAAAACCCTTTTACAAGACTATGATTTCCACCGTGAGGAAATTACTCGTTTTCAAAAGTTGTTGCAATGTGAACCTGTTATTGGTCAAACTGTTAGTGGTTATTTTGAAACATTATTTCAAATGTCCAGAGATGTTCACTCTTTCAGTTCTTATTCGGTTATCCAATTTCGTGTGATTAAAATTTTGGATTTGATTATTCCAAATTTGAACTTACACCAATTCTTCATTATTCAAAACCGCAATGAGTTTTATACTCTCTTGTCTAGGTATAATTTGTCTCAACACAAATTCACAGCTGAACTTATTAACCAGCTCAATTCATCTCCACAATTAGTGAATACTTCAACAACTGCTCCACCAACTTCATTTCCCAATTCTGCTATTACTTATGCTGTTAATCCATCAATCAAACGGTTTAACAAATCCAACAACAACAAGTCCACTGAACCTAGTAAAAGAAAATTCAAAAATTACTTTTGCAAACGTTGTTCCTGCAGTCGTTGTGAAATCAACAAGAAGTTGTATGATGACTATATTAAACGTAAACCTGCTTCAAATGCAGTAGTGCATGTTATTTACCAAGATGACTTGTTAGATGCAGAAATTGAACTTATTCCAAATGATCAATTACATTTTGAAGAAGCTGATGATGTTTTAGGTATTGAAGAAGTTCCACCACCATCAGATGCTGCAAGTGCTTTAGATGATGAAACCCAAGAACAACAGGTGTTATACGAAATTACTGCTAATGCTGGTTTAACTTCAAACACTAATTATCGGCCTATCTACTGAAGATCATCTCCAAGATAAGGTTCTTTTGTTTGATACAGGTGCTAGAAGCTCCAAATCTCCAGTTAATATTTTATTCACACATACAATTTCATCTCAATCACAAGTTATTCATTTTTCAAATTATACTTCAATTTCATTACTATTATCTCCGCCTACACGGCTTGATACTGTTCATTATTTTAAAAGTGCATCTCAACATGAAATGGTTAGTTATTATTCAGCTAACGCTAAACTTCATTTTTATAACTATGATGTTGATTCACCCAGTTTTACAATTTATTTCATCAAAACAGCTATGCACCCTATTGACGTGGTAATTGGCTATGATACACTTCAGTCACTAAGTTATCAGTTGCTGCCTAGTGGTACTGAAAGTTTTACTATTCCAGGTCTTGATTTACACATTGATGTCGCAAATTCTATTACTGCTCCCAGTGCTAAGGTTTTTAAGATTGACTCTGCTTTTACTCCATCAACTGCTCATCCACCAATGTCGGTAGAAGAAGCTAAAGATCCACATTATTGGTCATTTTTGTTTCCAGATATCTACAATACGGAGAAAATCACCAGTGAGCTTGATTATGAGTTAGAATTTCACAATTTACCTACTACATGGACTCATAAAAGCTACTCAGTTTCACCACAACACGAACCTATTGTTGATCAGTTTATCAAGGACAATTTAGAGAAAGGTATCATTACACCTCATGATTTATCCAATGGCATTCTCTATACCTGTCCCATTTTTGTCACCCCACCATCTCATCACAAGAAGAGTAAGGTTGTCGTTGATTTCCGTGTTTTAAATAATCATATCAAGTACCAAACCATACCATTACCTGATTTATCCATGATTTTGAACTCCATCGGTAACTACAAGGTTTTTTCCATTCTAGATTTGTCCAATGCTTATAGTCAAATTAAAATTGAGAACTCCAAAATTGGTATTGCTACTTCCTCAGGAGTTTATCGCATCAATCGTTTGTTATACGGGCTTAACAGTTCGCCTGCTATATTTTCAATCATTCTTAGAGGGTTGCTTACAAAAATTCAAGTTGATTCCAAGACTACTACCATTTGTTCTTATTTAGACGACATAATAATAATGTCAAGTTGTGAAGAAGAAAATATGAAGGTTTTATATCAAGTTTTTGAATTGTTAGATCATTTTAATTTGAGAATGAATCCCAAGAAACTCCAGTTACTTACCACCAATTTCAAATTCTTAGGCTTCTCAGTCACAGATGGTCATTTATCCATTAACCAAGATCATTTAGAGGTTCTTAAGAAACTTCAACCTCCCCAAACTCCAAAACAGAAACTTCAAGTGATAGGATTTTACAATTATTTCTCACGTTTCATACCTCAAATGGCTCACTATTTAAAGGTTATACGAGACAGTCCAATTGGTTCTAAGGATTTAATTCATTGTTTTGAAACATTAAGAAATTGCTTGTTAAATCATTCAAAGCTGCTCTTATATAAGGCAAATAATCCACTGTTTATTTTTGTTGATGCTAGTCTTCATTCTATTGGTGCGTTTTTAGCGCAAAAGGTTGATGCTGATGCTAATGTTTATTATCCAGTCGGTTTCATGAGTTACCAATTAACTGCTACACAGTCACGTTATAAGAATTGTGAACGAGAATTATTGGCTTTGTTAGTTACTTTGAAAAAGTTTTCTAAATTTCTCAATCATGATACAACTGTCTTTACAGATAACTCACAAGTTCTTAGTTTATCCAATTCCAAGAAATCAGTGTCTAATCAGTCCAGAATTATCAGATTTTTACAAGATATCACAGCTTATGATGTTAAATTTAAACATATTCCTGGTTCTTCAAATACTATTGCTGACTTTCTTTCTAGATATGACAATCTCCAAGACCCCAAGTTTATCCCAAACCAGTATATGGAAGATCTAGACTTTGAAACTATACTAGATGTACAAGAATCAAATTCCATTGTTGCTGCTATTTGTCATTGACCTCCAACTAATCAATTTATTCAATCAAAATCTCAAGAAATTTTAGATCAAGTAGAATCAAATCCATCCAGTTGAATCATTTCAAATGAGATTAGTGCAAAACTTTCAAGAAGGAACAGATGTTTGTGGTTTGTACCATCTATTTCAATTATCTACTCCGGGTTACTTTATTAAATCATGCTACAAAAACAATACTTTATTATTACTTTTACTTTTATTCTATTTTATACTATATACTTATTCAATTATTCAATTATTATACATTTACTTGATTTGCTACATTTGCTATAGCGTTCAATTATTAGTATTGATCAGGAATCTACTCTTACAGTAATTGTTAGATCTCC